AAAGGTATTATAAAATCAGTATCTTAGTTCTGTCCAGCTTAATGATTTATTCCAAGTCAGTATGAAGTGACCTCTGTCGTCTGCAGCCGCTCCGAGCTGTTTGAAATTAAGCATCGCTGAAAGGATCAGTCAGTCAATTGACAGTTTGTTAAACCCCTCCCACAATCAATAGTCATCCAGTCATCTTTTAACTAATAATTATTTGTATTATCAATAAAACTTGTGAATGATTGATTAGTTATTTGGTCACTAGTAGATTAGGGAGGTGGGAAAAATGTTCTTTTCAGATGTTGAGTTATTTTGTACAAAACATATCTGGTAAAGAATCACAGACTGTCTGAGACAGTGTCCTCTTTTAAGTCTTGGCAATAGATGTCCTTTTTTTTGGATGGTATATTCCTGAATATACTTGGGTTTCAAGGTTGTTATTGGTCTTGGTTCTCTATTATTTCCATTATTATTTATATACTTCCTTTTGCATTTCAACCATTTGTTTTCTTTTTGCGCAGCATTTTGTGTTGAAAACTGCTCGTGAGATAAAGTTATTATTATTGTCTTAAAGATCGTAAAGACTTACAGGAACTAGAATTTATTCACATCTGAGAAGCTGAAATAAGAAAACTTACACATTTTCTCTTAAATTAATCAATTTTGATTGTCAATCAGGTAATTGGTTAATTGACTAATTGTTGCAGTTGTAGATTATAAAGTATAGCACTGATGGCCTGCAAAGCTTTGGATTTCTCCACATGATAACATAATGTACATGAAACTTTAGGTTGAGTTGATTTCAGCCTTAAACCAGAAGAGTAAAAGTGTGAGGATTAGAATACTTGAGTATTTGTTGAACTGTCTACAGTCGTTAGCATGTCTGACTAATGATCCAACCATCCATCCATCAATCATCCATCAACACCCTCTGTCCTTTTGAAGGTTGGGGGAGGTAGAGCCAGGACAGATCACCAATATATAGAGACAAACAACCTGTCCCATTCTCACCTACGGTAAAAGTCTCCAATCAATTTAACCCCAATCTTCATGAATGTGGACTGTGGGAGGGAAGTAGGAAAAAACCAACACAGACATGAGGAGAACATGCAAACTCCACACACTCCAACACCTGGCTCGAAACAGGATTTGAACCTTTTCTTTGCTGTACACCTACATTAGTAATTGATTAGTACTTGAGAGGCCAAGATTCAGCAGATCATCAACAGCATTATTTTGTTACATCAGAAAAAACGAGCTCTGCATCTGAAATCTGATCATTAAACAGAGATTAAGCTAACCTACTAATTGTCATCATTTCGCAGTTTGTTTTTGTCATGAGAATTACACAAACACTACGGACTACTACTACACATTCATTTTTGTAGTGGATCCAGATAAACAGGCTGATCCAGGAGTTTTTTTTTCCATTTTCTTTAACAGGGCGAGATGGGGCATTAGCCTCGGTGGATGTATGAGCACCCCTCTAGTTGTGATCATAGGTTGCAAACAAGTCATGAAAACAATATGTTCTTACTGTGGTATGTTGGTGTAATGAGCTTGTAAGACAAAGACATGAGTCCCTGACCCCCTCCCCTCCACGGCAGGTCCCCACGCTGCACCCTCCCTGAACCTGGGTGGGGGGCTGCAGGTCTTTGGAGCGAGGCTGTGGAATGTGGGTGATAGTTGCTAAGTGAAAGCTGCGCTGCCGTCTCTGATAATTCACAGTCTCTGTGGGTGTGAGTCTCGGGCCAACACGAAGCAGAACCTTTCACAAGACTGAGAAAGAAGCACACGCAGTGAGAGAGAGTTGGTGTTATAATATAAATATAAACTCATCATCACATCTCCATCTTCCATGCATAATCACTGCTGCCCTCAAAGTCAGCTCTCTAAAAGGGACATTATGTCAAGAAAGTGAACATAACACCTGCATGTTCCTACTGCAAATTTTGTTTTTGCAGCAATGACTTGGAAATGGAGTGACTGGGCAAAAAAGACAAAACCTTTCTAGCAAACAGATGCAACTGAAGTGATTTCAGGTGTACAGTTCATCTACAGTGGGTGTCATGACAGTAACTTCAGTGTTGTCAATCATTTCATTTTGAAGCCTCTCTCACACGAGGTCCGAATGAATAAAGTGGTGCGTGTTGCACACTCACCCTCTTGTGATCAGTGTTTCAGTGTTGGGTGTGCTGAGTATTAAGTTAAACTGGATGGAGAGGAGGACAGGGGGCAATTAATGGACAGGACAGGTCACCTACCGCTGTGTCGTGTGAACAAAGTAAGTAAAGAAAAGAGACACTGGCACGTTGCTCTCTGCAGAAACCTCAGCCAGTTTGATTGAGATTGTGTTGTCTGAAATGGAATTGGCTTTGAGTGCTGATAATTAGTCACATCCCACAGACTGTGGACACATCCAACACCTACTGTACCATCACTCATTCACTTCATATGGCAAACCAGTTGCCAAACAACTGCTTGTTTACACATTTAGCTAACTGAGCTTAACCATCATCCGTTTTGAGTCATGTCTCTGGCCACCTGGTCTGATTTTAGCTTTTAGTTTCTGGTCTTAACCGACTCCTGTGGTGAAAACAGTGAGAGTGAACCATAATGTAATGTTTTCATCTATGTCTGTTGGTTTGATTGTGTTCTAAATTACAAAAATACTTGGTGGCAGGATGTGGTATGAGTCAGGAAAGAACCCATTAAAATTGCTGCAGATTCAGATCAGATGACTTCTTTGATTTTGATATTTTCTACATTTTCCCAGGGAATTATCTTTGTCTTGGATCCACACCCAAACCTTCTTCCCTGACCCACCCTGCATCCCTCCACCATGTTCCGTGGTAATCCATTCAGTAGTTTTTGTGTAATCCTGCTCAATATCAGACAAATTCAGAAAAAAACAACCATATCGGGGTAATAAATCATTTGTTGCGACCAGACCACTTCCTCCTTTCTTTTTGTTCTTCGTCTCCTCTCAAGTGTAGGATTGTTGGACCTTTTGAGAGAAATTCCAGTTCCTTGTGGATTTGTCACAATGAACAAACTCCTTCACATGCGAGCTGCCATATAATCCATTGTTGATGTGAACTATTGATTATTTCTGCTTTATATAATTTCCTCCTGATACATTAGATCTGTGTCGGTCTTGCAGGAAGCTGTTAAATGTTCCATTTGTCCACATTCTCCCACGTTGCTCTCTGCTCTTTAAACTCTCCCCCAGACTGAAAAGGGGCCAGATGGCTTTAAAAGTCAATGTTTATAGACTCACTGTCAGGACCACAGACTTCCTGTCAAAGTAAATAGCCGGTGTGTTAAATCCATCATAAAAGAGGAGAAAAATTATAAATACAGATACGGAATATTCCATTAGCCCCACTCCTATTCTCGTCTGCTGGTCCAGCTCGGAGACGGTAGCTTCACAGAGCTGACATTGGATGTGCTGTGTAGCTGTTGAGGAATTACCAATGATTGGTCGCTGATATCAGTTTCCTGCCACATGTTTCTTTAGACGTCTGTATTTCTTACTCTAACCACCACACTCATTATCACAGAGTTCCACTGTTCGCAATGTCTGTGTATCCATCCAACTATCGAATGGATGAGCATAACATTTCGAGCAGGGCTTTATGAGCTGTGTCTCAATTCAGCGGATGTTTCTTTCATTGGCTGCATGTGAAGACCGATTGCGTAACAGTGGTGCTACTAGACTGTTTATTCATCCGCGGCAGGAAAATACATTCAATCATCCCAGAAAAACAAAGGCTTCAACGGGTGGATCCTCCTCTGGGCCAACCTACCCCAGGAGTCATTGTGCTTGGGGTGTCGTGCTTCAACTCAACCGAAAGGGACATTAAAACTTTGTCGTGTCCAGCTGCAGCTCTGTTGCTTAGCGACAGCAGTAAAGGTGGGACTAGCTGGTCATGTAAATCAAGGGAATTCTCTGTAGACGAGACCATCTCATCTAGGTTCAGCCCTCGTGGTTTACGCGGCCCACGAAGATGAGGGACGATTTTGATGATCTCCTGACTCCTCTGGGCTGAGATTCATAGATTTGAATGAAACCTCTCACTACTACTACTAATACTACTACTACTTCTACTACTGCGGTTATTGTACAAACCTCCATGCCCCTTAGGGATTCATTTTAATAACTTTATTATCATAACATTTTATATGTCCTAACGATTTTTAATTGAAATAATCATTATATACACTTAAAATAAAGTATATCATGATTAGAATGCAATTATTAGGTGAAGGAGTGGATTTTGTTTTTTTACAGGACACAACATTTAACATAATGTTATAACTCCCATAACATCCTGTTTTCCATCTTAAATCCCCCCTTAGCCAATTTAAGGTTGTTGAAATAATTTGAATTCACACTTCTTAAGGTCTTACAGTTATATTTGTGTGTCAGTTTGTTGTTTCTTCATTGAAGCTTCAATTTTCAAACTTCTACACCTTCTGATAAAGATGTATATTTAAATACATGCACTAGATATGTGTGTATACAGTATATTAATGGATGTGTATATTTATACATACAGGTCATATATTCATATATACAGTGTACTATGTTCAGCAATGCACGCACACCTATGTTGATCATTTATTGATTATGTCTGCATATCCTCTCTAAGCTGTTGGGGGCTTTTGTAGTAAAATACATTTTAATCTACGTTGTGCTGAATGGCCACTGTCAGTGCTGCGTTTCCTGTCCTGGATCAGAGCATCTCTTACATAATGCCATTTTGATATCCAGGGATTAGGCTGAGGTCCTCTCCACAGACCAGCCGGTTGGATGTTCCATCATGTCGCCCTCAGGGAAATGACGACTGCTGTAATGGTTAAAAAAAGAATTATAGGATTTTCCATTGACTTGATGTTCAATTCCTGCTTTATTTTCCTCTTCAAAAAAAATGAACCTAACTCTTTTTATTTTCTCCATGATCATATTGGTAACTCAGTCATGAAGTCCACCTGACCGTGAGTGAGCGATGAAGGTCACAGTGTGTAGTGGTGGGTTTGTAGCGGTGCTGGACGCACCAGGAAAGGTAGAGGCGGAAAGGATGAGGTAATAAGTGATGAGTCTTGATAAATGAGCGTGTTGTTGAGACGAGCAGGTGCGGCAGCCTCGCGCCGGGAGCGTGGCAGCGTGCACAGGTAGCAGGTAAACGCTGCCGAGCAGGACTTCTAAAGTGGTGGAGTGCTGCTGCGTAAACACGGGACCTTACTGTGTACTCTGTCAACCCACTAGCCCTTGCCCTCTTGAGAAAAGCAAGCAATTAGTTTGAGCCTGTGAGCGCAGACACATGGAGTGTGGGTCGCACGTCCAGTGAATCTTGACAGATAAATACTTAGGGCAGCTGTCGCATGTGCAGAGAAAACATATCCACACATTGAATGTAACGTTCTGACGGGAGGTATTCACCTGCAAACATCATGCTCCAGGTTTCACTTTTGTCTGGAGGCTATTTTTACTTGAACAGTGAGTGTAATGTAAACAGAGCTGAGCGCTCGGAGCCATCTGCCTAATGTCACTGTGGCCTATATCTGTCCTGCTCTCTGTCTGTCTCTCCATCTCACTCACTCTTCTTTCCTTCGCTGTCCTCGAGTTGTCTTTGTCCTTCCTTCATTCCTGATCCTCACCACTTTTTTCCTCCCGATCCTCACTGTCAGTCATTTTTCTATTTTATCTGTGCTGTCCATTACGCTGCTGGTCTATTTCTTTTAATCCCCACCCCTTGTTTGCTTTCTTTTCAAACTCGTTCGTCCATTACCCATCTGCCTCTGTTCCTGTGTCTGCGGTACATATGTAAACTATGTCACCTTGGGTCACGTTTACTCGGAATGGCTATTCTGAGAATTCTTTTATAGCCATGGCAAATATTTTTTCATTCATTTCATTCTGTTTACATGCCAACAAGTCTCTTTTGATGGTGGAAATGTTCTCGACATGGGCAATTTCAAGATTGCACCATGTTTTTGTAGCAAGTACTAGAAACACGGCATAAACAGTAACCCTGATTGAAATCTGAGAATGTGAATGAGGCACAAACGAGAAAGATGGAGATATAAGATCTTCAGACAACACTTTGATCCTTTGCTGTTGTACATTTGGACAAACGTTCAAGGGAAACCTAAGATGCAGATGAGGTAATGTTTATCAGTGGATAAAACACTTGCAGTTGATAAGGGATGATCTTCTGAAGTAGAACCATGGAATTGATCAATCTCTATAAACAGATTCTACGTGTGAATAATCTGTTGAGGGGAAAGATATTGTGGCTGAAAGCTTTATGGTTTAGATTCTTTCAACCAAGTTGGTACCAAAAAGGTTATGAAGGACTGTATGTGCATTATGAGCAGCACAGATGCTTTGACTTTTTCCACCAACAAACTTTTGAGTTATAAAAACATAACCCTTGAGTCCTAATCCTGATTCTTTCCTCCTTTTCAGTGTTTTCCATTGATTAGTTTTCACATATAAACTTTGAACTACAAGTGACAAAAACGTGCATTACCCTTTTAAAGCTGTTTTCTGCAAAGAAAGTTTCTTTCTGATAATAAACAGTTATAATAACAACACTAATTCTCAATAACAATGATTTAGGAGAGGCCTGAAGCTACGTTAAGAGGAGGTTTTATCATTTATCATTTAAGATTTCCAGTTCTTCACTTCCTTCTGGTCCAGGCTTGCAAACCTTAGGGTCCAAATGTAGCCTCTGGAGTGAAGTGTGTCACTTCCAGGCCGTGAACAAGAGCACTTCTCTCAAGGAAGTGGCTCTCTAACGGGTCAACAGCATTTCCACCATGCAGTCAGGGACTGTTGTTGGACGCAGGAGGTTTTTCCCAAGTGCAGCAACACATTTAACCAGTGACGCAGCTCAACAGACGGCAGCAGATGAGAACGCTGTAAAAATGATTAGGCGGTCAGTGAACTGAGAGGAGCAAAGGGGACGACTGATCCCACAAACTGGACTATTTCCTGTCAGAGGAAATGTTTTGTGAACGTGTGTACTTGTGTGTATTTGAAAGTGCAGATCAGGTACAAATACTCAGTAGCTCTGAGAAAAGATTGCTTTCTTTTTTGTCTTCCTTAAAATATAAAAGTACAATGTAGTTTGATACTTTAAACTATAAACATAAGATGAACAAAGAAAGTGGTTTAAGTCTATTTTGACCATTAAACCCTCATCTTCCTCCTCCTGGTCGAACTACTACTAAGTGTTCGCTCACTAGCCAATCAAGTCACATTTTTGCAAGTACAGGTGTTCTGATATGTTTCAGATCTGCAGATCTATATCACACTTTTAAAGCGTCAAATCAGATCTAAGTAATTTGATTTAAATCCCAGTTCAGTCAGTTTCACACAGAAAACTGTGACGTTGAAGATAAAGACGGTCAAACTTATGTTCCACTGTGACATATATATATACATGACACTAGTATTATAACTTTGCAATAAAAAGTAACATCCAGGCTTATTTCAAAGATAAACATGTTATTTCTAATTTTACATCCTATCCTGTGTACTCATCCTGAGGGTTGGCTTTATGAGACCATTTTTTCCAGGGAGTAATATCACCTACAAACACACATAAGAACTAAACCACTACCACTGATCTATTTCATACAACTTTGTCCCTCTGTTATCTCACAGGTTTTGCATCATTCTCCTTCCGTCCTCGTTTTAAATTCGACCGTTTGTTTCTCCTCCTCATTTCAGGTGAGTGCTAACGTCCTGATCTTCCTCTGCACTAACATCATTGGAATCTGTACCCACTACCCTGCCGAGGTTTCCCAGAGACAAGCCTTTCAGGAGACCCGGGGATACATCCAGGCCAGACTACATCTGCAGAGGGAGAACCAGCAACAGGTGGGGGCGCACACACACACACACACACACGTTTGTATAGTTGTGAGGAAATTTAACAACACTAACCACAACCATAGACTGTTTATAAGGACAGACAACATGACACCGCCCCAAAAGTGAATCCAAAGTGTCACAATTGCCCTCTGGTGGCTGGTTCTGGTATAAGTCATAAACTTTGCCTCCTCCATGTTAGTGGATGGGACATGGGCCAGATTACAAAGTCAAAGTACACATCACATTTTTCAGTTTTCTTTGGCGGCCAGCGCTCTGGAGCAGCGGCGGCTGGGACTCAGTTTGATTCACTCTGTTGTTCATGACATCAGGCACGTTCACGACAACAAGTGATTCTCCCGCTCAGGGTTCTGCGTACTGAGTTGAGCTTTTGAATAATCCAGTGAAGAGGTCTTTGTGCAGCAGTGGTCTGTATTTGCTACGTTTGTAACTCAAAACTGTTGTCATATGATTAAAAGAGCAACACACACACACACACACACACACACACACACATACACACACACATACACACACATACACACACA